ATTTTACACTAGTAAATAAAAAATAAAAAAACTATGAACAAATTAGACCAGAAACTTTAGCAAACACACATAACTAATATCACAAGTTTTAATGAATAAATAAAACATTATGGATAATCAAAAACAGAAAAATTACATTTTTTCAAAATATGCAAATCTAATTTGAAAGAAAATTTTTGCTTTTATTTCTTAAACTAGAGATACTATGTCATTTTTAATGCCATTTTTGAACTCAGCAGGTGGAAATACATATGAAATAACTAATTTTGGTTCCGAAATAAAATCACTGTTGGGCAGTGTAATTGTTGGAATGAAACTGTGCTCAAGTAGAGTATCAACAAAATATTTAACATTATTATTAGAAGTATGCTTCAACAAGTTTATGTTTTTATCACCAACTATGTAAACATGCTTTTGCGTGTTATTAATTTTGTTTAAGAATAAGCTAAGATGAGTTTTGAATGTTTTAAAATGACCATCTGGTTGTCTATAAATTATTTTTATGATTATGTTTTTAGAGTTTTTGTTAACTAATTCTATGCATAATGACTCACAATTTGTTTCATTCACACTAAGATCCTTACGCAAAATAAAATCGGTTGAATGGTGGATATAAACACTTACGCCTCCTCCAGCATGAGTTTTAAGCGGTTGATGAACAGATGTATAGTTTTTTAATTTAAACTGTGCATTTTGTTCACATCTACACCAAGTCTCTGTAAAAAAAAAAATAATGCTAAAATCGTGTTTTATTTCGTCAATTAAAAATATAAAGTTTTTAAAGTTTTTGTTAAGACTTCGGATATTAATATTTAAAATTGAAAATGAGACCTTATTTTGACGAAAATACTTTGCAGTTTAGCAAGTATTTTGCATAGGTATGTTTAGCACTGAGACTAAAATTTTCAGAAAAATCTTTTAATCGCAAATCGCCCTCCATTTAAAAATTTATAATAAAAAAACTAAATATAAAGAAATGAAATAAAGGTACTTATTTAGTGTTTCAATTTAACTACTTCGCAATCAGTTTATCATATGCTAAAACTGCATATTTTTCGGAATATTTTGTAATCTTTATCTTCTCAATAAGATTGCGTCATATTTTATTTGTTTCTTCCGAAAAATCCTTGTTTATAAAGATCCTTTTTCCTTTTAGCTTCTTAGCATTTTTCAAGATTAGTTCTTTATCTTTATAATTTAACAGTTTAAGTATAACAGTTCTTGGGTTATCCATATTATTGTTAACTTTTCCATTTCTGTGTACTCTTCCTATTACTATATTTTTTAACTGAAGCTGTTCATTAAATTTTTTTTTAAGTTTTTGTTTAGTATTTTCCCAAGTCTCATTCTTTTACTGTGACTGTTCCTGAGTGCTCCAAAAAATCTTATTTGTCTAGTTTTTTTCCTCAAACCTCATTACTTTGGAATTCACTTCCCTCCTCTTGTGTTCCTGATTCATATAATTTGCAATCTTTTAAGTCATTAATCATTATATTGCTCTCTAAGTTTTTTTTCTCTTCGAGTAACTTCCAACTCTAATAGTGGTTGCTTGCAGCCTTTTTTAGAAGTGAAAATATTAAAAAAAAAAAAATTATTTTGATGAACAACATAAATATATAAGGCGCAAGAAGATGAACTTTCAATATATCTTTGTCAAGCATCCAATATGCATTATGGACTTAATGCTAGTGAAACAAAGCAATTTGCATATGAATATGCAGTTAAATGAAATGAAAAAACTGAAAAAAGAGTGAAACAGTTAGAAATGAATGGTTATATTTAATCTTAAATTGTACAAAATTATCTATTCGTATGCTAGAAGCTACCAGCCTCAGTCAAACAACTAGTTTTATTTGCACTAATGTAAATACTTTCTTCAAAAGTATTTACATTAGTGGAAAAACTTTTGTGGAGTATGGACATCTAGCAAGAATCATCCATTACTTTTAACAATGGATTACCACAAAAGTCATACATCGACTGGATTGATGGATAAAGGTAAGGAAAATAATGTTGTACTTTTGACATAGCCACCCCATTGCTGCCACAAACTACAACCAATTGACAGATCATTATTTGGGTCGTTAAAGAAATTTTACAGTTCAGCATGTGACTCATGGTTAAAGACACATCCAAATACTCCTTTGACGATACATGACATTTCTAAAAATATAGGATTAGGCTATGCGAGAACCTTTACTTCCAAACATATTCAAAGTGATTTTAAAGTATTTTCCGGTACAATCCATACATTTTTAGTGACTTTTTATATTTTTATATATTCCAACAAATGTCTCTACCTAGCTAGTTTGTCCAGCAGCATTTTTCAACTGGTTCAAAAAGCATTTTCTCTTAGTCTAACTAATGTACCCAATCAAACAAACCTTGCAACTGAGTTTTACAATTTAAGTAATATATCTGATTGGCAAACACAAACAATCCCCACATTACCATCAATTGTGTATAAAGTTATTAATGACAAACAGCAAACCAACACTTCTGTCTACCATTAGACAGCAGGCCATTTCCAAAAGCGGGTGAGAGGGCGGCAAAGAAAAAAAATTAAAAAAGAAAGTGTGCTAGGTCTCTGGTTTTAAATGACACACCAATAAGAAATTAACTAGTTGAAAGTTTATCAGGATGTAAAAGAAAAGATGAAAATAAAGATAAGAAAAAGCAAAAAAGTTACCCCTGAGACATCAACGTAATTTTGACTCAGTTTAAAATCAATCGACCTTTTAGAATGATATCTTATTTTTCTTAAACATAAACCTATTTTCTATGTTGTTATGTAATTACTTGTTTCTAACTTTTCTCATTTCACCCTAACCGTTGTCTCTTTTCACTCCGAAATGGGGTAACAAATGGGACAAAGGCTTTGCAATAATTTCCCAAGACAATTGACAACTCAGTTGACTAAAATTTTAACCCAATTTGTATGGTTTTTGTGGAAAATATAAAGCGCGGCACACAAACAAAAAAAATTGGCGCATCCCACCCCACTCTTCTTTACAAATCTATTATATATACGCTAATATTGCATGGGCGAGTACTCATAAATTCAAATTAGTCTTTATTGAAATCTTTATTGAAATTCTTTATTGAAACACTTTATCGAAATCAAAAGCATGCTGCAAGAATGCTTTATAATAAAGATAAATTCTTACATGCTGAGCCACTTTTAAAACAATTAAAAGTATTAAACTTAAATTAAATCAACACACTTTAAAATTAAATTTTTATGATAAAATACAAACTTGGACTTCTTCCAATGCATTTTTCAAAAAAATTTCTTCTATAATAGCAGAAATAGATATGACACTAGAAAAGAAGGAAAATTTAAATTACCATTTAAAAAAAAAATCTTCCTTGCTTCTCTTTTTCATATTGTGGTCTTTATCAGTAAAACAAATTAATATCCAAAAATTTACAAAACCGAATAACCTGAATTCTAATATTTTTAAAAAATTTCATCTTAAATACAGATAATTTTATACAATTTTATTAATCAAAAAAATATATATAAAAACCTTAAATAATATTTATAAAATAGAAGCAACTCTACGAGTAAAATGTGTGTGGAAAAGAGGGGGAAGGAGGAAGAGGGAAGAAGAGGGCGAGATAAGATAAATTCTGCCTACAATTATCAAGTTTATTTATACGTATGTGAACTATATATCTAAGATAGTAAATCATGTACCAACATATTTATGTGTATCCAAGTAAAATGTTTGTTTGAGATAAGTATTGATAAGTACAATAAACTAAGAACATAATTTAGTTTATAAATATGAATTTATTGATAGTATACAAAATATAGGTAAAAATGTAGAGCGGTTTCTTAATGACAAGACCATCGGTCTTCTGCAAGTTTTCCGGGTTCTTTAAATAATGATGGCTTTTATTGTATATTATAACATTTGAGGATTTTTATTATATGCTATACTTTGTTAACGATTTTTCATATGTATGTGTATATATATATATATATATATATATATATATATATATATATATATATATATATATATATATATATATATATATATATATATTCTTACAATTTTGCCCTTGATATATGTAACGGAAATATCGTGGAAATAATTTTAATTACCCTCATGGTACTTCTGATGCCCGTTCTCAAAAGTTAACCAGTTATAACAATTGACTTTAAAGCGTGGAAATAGTTAATCAGAAAACTAAAACTTTGTTGAAGTTTATTTTATATTTTAAATAACAGTGGGGTAAAAAAACTTTAATTAGCCTCACTGTTTAGAGCGCTTGGTTTGTTAGCGATAAGAACGGTGTCCTCGGTATTACCGCGTATAACATTTTTGTCCGCGCAGCAGGCTCTGTTCTCAAGAAACATGTTTCAGAGTGAAAGTGTTTAAAACGGGTTTGCAAAATAATCTGCCTGACTATAAAATCCCTCGGTTTTTGAATGTGAATTTTAAATTAAAAAAGTTTTTCAATTAATTTAACAACTAAGATTTTAATATTTCTTCACTTTAACGAAAAAAACGAAACTTTAACGAAACTTTAACGAAAAAGAAGTTTCTTTTTCAAGTAAATTTTCTTGAATTTTTAGCATTTCTTGAAATTTCAATTCACTTTTATATGGCTTTTTTATAACTTGCTTTTGTTTCACAACATTTTTACTCAATGCCGCTTTTATTCCATATATTTAAATTTTATGCATTTATCTTGTATTCTAATTCTACCTTTTCTAATCTTTTTTTATCAAAATACTTTGCCCTAATTCTTTTGTAAAAAAAACCGCTAAAACGTTTTAAACATTTGCACAAACTACAAAACCGATTTGGTTTTATGGCTTTAGTTGAAAACTCGGGCATTATCCAAATCTGTTTTATAAACTATCTAATACCACACTAGTAATGAATAACACCAAATGCAGGTAAGTTAAGCTGTCTATGTTTATGCACGCATCTTGTGGATAATTTACTCTCTGCTTAATTAAGCATTGAAAAACCATTTGGTCGATTGATCCTCGGCACACGCAGAAAAAACAACGCAATACTTTACAAGTGCTATTAACATTTCTAATTTTGAAACCAAAAATTTGCAATGACGTTTGTTAAAAATTTACTTCTATTTTTGCTATTGCTGGGAGTCACTAATAAAGTATTTTCTGCCCCAATAAATGAACAAACAGAAAATCTTCGCAATGAAGATCAATTAAACATTGCAGAAGATAAAGAAGATAGCACCGAAGAAGACAGCGCCGAAGGTTTATATATTTTTTTTAATCTTTTTTTTTTTTTTTTTTTTTGTTGATAATATAATATTTTACGATTAAAATATTGATACAAAAAATAAGAATTTAAAAGTTATGCACATTAAATGCATTTTGAAATTTGCTGCCGTTTTGAGAGTAATTAATTTTAAAAAACACTACGAGTTATTTTTGTTTTGTTGCCGGAGTTTTTGTTTTAATTCACTGATAATATTATATAAAAATATTTTAAATCTTTTAGATAAAAAAAACTATTTGAAAAATTTGGAATGAATATCATCATTACTATTAACATTTCATAAATTCTTATAAAAAATTCATAAATCGTTCTTATAGAACCGTTCCTATATAATTGTTCTTATAGATATAATTAAGTAGAATTTATAAATAAAATAAAATAAAAATATTCAAAAGGTGAATGATTGAATTATTGTATAAACGATTCTTTGACGACTGCAATAATAATACGTTTTTTACTTTAGTAATTTAAAAATCTTTTTAGTATATATTTGTAAACTTTTTAAACGTTTGTGAAATAATTTAATACTTTTTTAAATATTAATAAAGATATTTTATAATACTATAAATTAAATTTGTTTTTTAATTTCATAAAACATTTTTTGGACTTCTCTTAAGATAATAAAAAATCAAACGTCTTTGAAATGAAAAAAAAAAACAATCGTTTTTTCTTTCTTGTTAAATCTAGATGTTTTTGCCGAGTAGGAAGTAGAGCTTACAAGACTAGTATAGAAAAATTCAACAAAACTTTCAAAAAAAACTTCTCAAAAAAGTACACAATAACTGAAATATCAGCATGTGATGTTTTCGTTACAAATTGAGATATTATGGTTTACCTTCTTCCAACCAATTGTGATACAGAAACATCTTATACTCCAACCCTGTACATACACAAAGGTTTGCTTATTTTGAAGCTTGCTAGCGATTGTATAAACCGAGAGAAAGTGTTTTAGAATAAATAAAGTTAATAAGAAAGAAAAAAAGTTCACATTTTAAATAAAAGTTGTGGAAAAAAATTGTTTTCATACTCATTGTAGTCACGGTGCTTTTCAAAAAATTGCCTCCAATTAGTTTAAACAATCAATATATTTCCGTTAAATACCTGGTCTGCAAAAACCTTACTGTGGACAGCAAGCAATCTTTTAAAATTTGTGTCAAATGTTATTTACCTATCAAGATTTTATTTATTGGTATTTTTAATTGAAGACTTTGCTCGGTGCTGAAATTATTTTAATTATTGCAAATACATTTAGACCATAGAATATTCCTCAAGGGAATAGAAGAAAATAAACTAGAACTACCAACATATAATTTTTTGTTTGCTTTTACTTATTCAGTGGACAACCTTATAACTTTGAGTAATAAAAAACAACATAATTTTAAGAAATTGAGAAAAGTTTTAGATCTTTTTATCTATATTCATGTCCAAATTGAGCACATTTTGTAATTTTATTTTAAAAAATTGAAGCAAATTGACTGAGTAAAACACTAAAGAAGTTCGATTAGATGCTTTATAAAAGTTTTAAATTCTGTATATATATAAAAAAAAAAAAAAATTCTTAAAAAAGTTTTTAAAATATAAACAAAAGAAATTGTATTAAACAAAAAAAATTTACATTTATTTCCCTCCATTTAAAACCTAAGTTATAGACTGCCAACGATGACATATTTTTAATAAAAAATTTCGATTTAAGTTTTACTAATTTGCGTTAACTACGTTGAGTGGCATAAAACACGCTCAAAAAAATTGTTTTCATTTAAACATTTACTGACGCTCGCAAAAATTTATTTTTAATATTTCTTTCTATGCGCAAATAACATATGCTTTAGTATAATTTTTATTGGTTTATTTTTAAAAATACGATAATTTGTGTTTAAAAAACATTCGTAAAATTTATAATATCAGTATTACTCATTACTATTCAATTTAAATTTGGCGTTTATAATATATATATATATATATATATATATATATATATATATATATATATATATATATATATATATATATATATATATATATATATATATATATATATATATATATATATATATATATATATATATATATATATATATATATATATATATATATATATATATATATATATATATATATATATATATATATATATATGTAAATTTTGAATGTTACTACTTTTGCAGTTACAAACTGTTTTGTTATTTCATAAATATCGCAATATGATAAATTTAAGGTAATTCGACTCTTCGATAAAAACAGTCTTCAGGGTTTTCAACATATTATGAACTTGAAGAAGTATTTTCAGAAATTACAATCGTGTTAACTTAATTCACACCTTGTACCAAATATTTATTAAATTTCACAGTTCGCGAATATTTGATTTGCCTCTTGCAACACGTCTTGTACCACACATAGTTATAAATTAATTAATGAGGCTCTAATTATTTAAAAATATTTTTATTAAAGATAAATAAATGTTTCTATTTTAGCCATATTCAAACTGTCTTTGCCTTTTGAGATATATTAGTTCAAATTGTCTTTTTCTTTTCAGATGTATATTAGTTCGAGCTGTCTTCCTCTTCTGAGATAAGTTATTTCGAGCAGCTTTTCTTTTTTAAGATATGTTATTTCAAGCTGTGTTTCTCTTTTGAGATATGTTATTTCAACCTGTGTTTTACCTTTGAGATAAATTAGTTTATATTGTCTTTTATTTTTTAAATACATTAGTTTAAGATGTCTTCCTCTTTTGAGATAAACTATTTCAAGCTGTCTTTCTCCTTTAAGATAAGTTCAGACTGAGTTAAGAAGCTAGTACAAAAAAAAACTGTTCAAACAACTTTTAATAAATTAATTTTTTTTTCTAAATAATTAAAAAACAATGTTTCATTAGTTATACATTGTAGTTCCATTCATGCTTGCTACACACTATTCATGAAACTTTATTAACATATTTATTGTTAATATTTGAATTGAACCAGAAATATGTTACACATTTTTTAATAAAGAGTGTTATATATTTATCTAAATTTTTTAAAATTTCAACTTCTTTAAAAGGAGCGGCTCCAAAGCTTTTAAAGTGAAAAGAACTATGATTGACCGGATGTTGTAAGGGAGTTTAGGGAGGGGTACAATTGTTAAACTTTTTGAGATTACAAAAAAGCGCCATATTTTAATATAAAAATTCTTATGTAATATTACATATATTGTGCACATTTTTCAATAATGTAATAATGAATATGTACTTTTAAAATATTAAACATAAAAATTAACTATAAAAACATAGCTTCTTCTAATTTCCTTTTATCAGCTTTAAAAAATTAGAATAAAAAGTAATTTAAAACGTAAGTTAAATAGTCTTCCTTACTAAACGGTGCAATATCAGATATCAGTCCCATTCAACCATTTCAGATTTTCAAAAAAGGGTTGAATTTATTTTTTCTTAGAGCGTTTTTACTGAGTAAACTTTGTCTTGCAAAATTACAATTAATTAAAGATATTAAATCTTTTATCAACACAAGTTGTTGTTGGTGCAATTGGAGCACTTTGTTCAAGAAAGACATTTTTTGTACCCGCGAACAAATAATGGGATAAGGGCAGTGAAGTCTGCATATAACGACTGAGGTTTTTGGTTTGGGCAGACATTCTTTTAATTTAAGAAAAGTTTTATTTCTTAAATTAAAAGAATTGAAATGTTTGTATTTGAAATATACAAAGTTATAAGGTTGTCCACTCAATAACTTTTCTCAATTTCTTAAAATTATGTTGTTTTTTATTACTCAAAGTTATAAGGTTGTCCACTGAATAAGTAAAAGCAAACAAAAAATTATATGTTGGTATTTCCATATTTATTTAAATAAGGTTGGGGTTTAAAAGTTAATTTAACTTATATTAAAAGAATTATTAAACTAAATTAGAATTGATTTTCATGTGAAATAGTCAAAATAATTAATAAAAGTTTATGTTTAAATAAGCGAGTAAAAATTAGATAAAATTGTTTGCACATGCGTACAAATAAAAAAAAAAGTTATTCTAATTTGCGTAATAAATAATTTCGACCATTTTTCAAATTTATTAGGCTAAACTAGTTTTTGCTGAGTTAAATGGCTGAAAAGTATTGGCATAGAGACTGAAGAGTTTGGACAAACTTATGAGTGGTTTTATTTGTCAATGTTGACAAATAAAACCATTCTTCCAGATCAAATTACTGTTGGTTAATTTTAAGAATTTTTTTAATTATAAAAAAGAGTCGAAGTTGTCTTAAAACTCTGTGAGTTACGTTTAATGACGAATATATTTTGGTTCTTTAAGTATCCATCTTATTTATGTATACACTATTAAACAGAACATATAATTATTGCTTGCAAGTAGAACGGTTACCTAGGTTACGGAGGAGTACGTGTTTAAAGACATTGTATTTGATGATATTATGGCATTTAAGGAAGCAACGATTGCAGAAATTGCAAAGATTGCAAAGCTCTGGAATTTTTATCTTTGCCAGACATCATGAATTAATTTCAAAAGTATTTAAGAATTATTTTATTGTTAAAAATCAAAGCAATAATTTGCAATCATTGAAAAATGATTTAAATTCAAATGAGTTAATTTTTGATCTGAACGTTAATTGTTTTTTGTTTCAAATGCTATTCAGGTTTTTACTAGAAAAGCAGTCAAGCAACTTTGGATCCGTATTGTTGTTTATTAAAAACTGATTGACGAAGTGCAAAACTAATGTTATGTGTTATCATTGACTGCATACGTCACGATGCAGTTTTTATTTTTTCGTTTTTTGAAAATCTATAGACAAATTTAAAAGTTGTTTGCCTTTTAGACTAATTATTTCGGTCACAGTTCAGCTGCAGAGATTAAGAACTTCAAAAATTTATGAATTTATGTTACCATCAAACTGATTAAAACATTACTGCGAATTGGAGTTTCTTTGCGACAAGTCAAAAAAATCAATGGAGTTGGAGGATCTGTTAAACGCGTAACGCGTCATTAACAACGCGTAATGCACCAGTCATTAACAACGCGTAACGCACCAGTCATTAACAACGGGCAAATAATAATATTATAACTTGCTTACAAAATTTATTTATTTTTATAAGAAAGTACGTCAAGTATATCAACGAAAATATTGAAACTTAATCAAGTATTAAATTTCTTTTTACTTTTTTAAATATATTTTAAAGTAGTTTTAAATAGTTAAACTTAGTTATACTTTTTTTAATTATTTAAATAATTAAATTTAAAATATTTTAAAACAGTCACAATAACCAAGTATTAACATGTTTGCTTTGGAAATGAAAAGAATTTCAAATCTTGAGTTGACTATCAGCTTACTAGGCGAGTTTTTAAGTATATTTTGAATTCAAAATGGCGCATACAACTAAGAGAGATTTTTATTGAAAACCTTAAACTTCAGAAAAAGGGTTTTAAAAGCACGGTCTAACACATAGAAAATGTTTTATCTAGAAGAAAAATTACCAGATAATTAAGCTCAATTAGTTTTAAGAAGGAATGATACATAGTTTTTTTGAAATAAACAACATTTTTGGATGGGGTAATGTTAAAAATCTAATGCTTATACAACATTAAATACCTTTAAAATTAAAATTAGTATAAATTAGAAGTCTAACTATGTAAATAATTAATATAATATTAATAACTAAAAAATTGGTTTTAAATGACGGCGTGTTTTAAGTACATTTTTTATTTAAAACTTAACTTATATAATTGAATATTTTTGCGGTCCAAAGTGGTCCAATAATTTGAAACTTGAAATACGTTGTTCAATATGTACATTATTAAAACAAATTTGATTGATTATTCGCGGTTTGAATGTCCACATGGTCTCTAATAATGAAATTTACAAGTTAAATGATGTATTCTATATATTCTTAAATATTGATGTATTCTACCTATCTGAAAATCAAAAAGAAGATTGGTGCTATTAGCTGCATCTTTTTCATCTTCAGAACTGCACCAAGTTGTAGTTTGCGCCGGAAAAAAAAGAAGCTAAAGCTGTTTTACAGTTATCAGAATATAATGAGCCAAATTTTTTTATTTTGCTTTATACACCAGAAAAAGTTCTAGCTCTGATACTTGATTGTAGACTGCCTAAAGATTCATACCAACAGATTCGTTTAGGCGCAGTTTAGCAAGCTGTAAATTTCATTCTCCTTATAATGCTATTCGAGATGCAAAAGAACAATGTATACCACAAAATAGTGACAGCATAAGTATAACTGATTACTGAGCTTCTGTCGATCTACAAATTTTTTAGACCATACTGCTGCTTGCCTAGTTAGCCTGCAAAAAGACTGGTTACTCCAGAAGCCTAACATAAAAATATTTTACACTTCACCATAAAATTGGTTTTGATGGATGAACAGGCTAATCAATTTACAAGCAGAACATTAATAATCCTTGGAATCTTCAACAAGAAGAGATTTTTTTTTAACTTGTATTGTACCTTTAGAATTCACCAATTCAAGTCAATGTTGTTCAGTGTGTGGTTAAAATCTAGCTTGATTTTAACATTCTAAATGTTAAAATCAAGCTAGATTTTAACATTTAGAATAAATGAACAACTTAAAATTTTTATTGATGTCCCTAAGTTCCTAAGGGGGTTTCAGGTACATCAAATGATGGAAATACTGGATGAAAGTTTTTGAGAATGCTCATATAATATATAACATTAATGGATTTGATTTATATCTAATAAAAATGATTTATGTTGTGTTACAAACATTATCCTCAAGATTTTAAGTCAATACAGATGCTTTCCAAGTGTACTGTATAAATGTTGCAAAAGGTATGTTGAACTGCATTCATAGTATCGTATGCCACAAAGTTTACATCATATTTTATTACACGGACATGAAGTTGTACGACGAATTGCGTTACCTATTGGAATGCTTTCTGAAGAAGTTCAAGAATCTCGCAATATGGATTTTAGGAAATTTCGAGAGCCTTTTTCACGCAAACGTTTCCGAAAAAAAGCTAAAATGAATGTTTTAAAAAGGTTCCTCAGACTCACTCATCAGAATTTTAAAAAAAAAAAGTATAAAAACAACTTTATCCAGAATTGATACAACTTTTAAAAGCGCTTTTATTTCCTGTTACAGTAGCATCCTAAACAGTACTTGAATATTTCAGAAAACTGGTTATTGTGAAGAATGTAAACATTCCTAGTATAAAAAATACTCAATCTGGTAATTATGGATGTAATCCGATAAATTTTTCAGAAGTCATTACTTTTGTCCACTTAATGTTAATTATAATTATTAAAGTATGTGGTTGCTTGCAATTTTGATATTCAAAGCAACTCAAAATTAAAACTAATGTCACCATTAAAAGCGCATTCCTTAAATTTGTAAACAGTGTAAAAATGTTCTACAAACCTTTTTTGTATGACGAGCTATTAGTTTTATCTACTAAAACTGAACTTTTGCTCCGCTGTCATTAGGAACTTATTATAAAGCCCTTTACAATATATGGTTAGTTTTAACAAAAGTACAATGCTCATAGTAAAACATTAATGCATTTTATAGATAAATTTTTAAAAATTAATGAAATAAATTGTTAAACAAAACAATTTAATAAACAATTAAAAAATAAACATAGATATAGAAGTTAGATAAAGTCAGTTTTGCAGGAAAATCAAAGCCTGGTAACTATTTGGTATAGAGACATAGAATGATCTTAATAAGAAAAAAAAATAAAAAATTTTTGTGTGTGACATTAAGGGACAATAATGTTTATCAATGTGAAGAATCATATTTGCTAGCTGCGTGTTTCTAATGAATAATATCTGCGTAATTAATATCACAATGAATGTATGAATAATAAAATAGTGTAAACTATAATATCAAAGCCTGGTAACTATTTGGTAAACTATAATATAGCAAAATCAGTTTTGAAAAAAGAATCTTGATCCTCGTAACATTTTCTACGAAACTTTTAAGTTTAGTAAAATTTAATTTTAGTCTTGAAGTTGTTTTTTTACATTTTTAAATTTTTAAAGATTTTTTAACTTTCAATAAATGAAAAAGAATCAAAATGGCTAAACCGTTCACTTTTTTTTTCGTTCACTCTCATCCTAGTTTATTTTATATACTTTTTTATTTATAAATTATTATCAACATTTAAATGTAAAACAAACTTTATACAACAATGCAACTTATAAAAACGTAGGGTTTTGGGGCCCATATATACATAGAATTTTACCTACATTTCAATTGAAAACAAACCTGATAATAAAAACATTTTAACATCATAAATTAGTTTGTTAAAGAGATGGTCTTGGAGTATGCCGAGGAAAACTGTAGAAACTTCCGCATAAATGAACTTATGCGGTGCTCTATTAAAAGATCATTAGATCTTTTCGGAGCATCTTATTAATCAGAAACAAAAGGTATAAACTAAAAGTTTATTTGATTTCCATAATTAAATTACATTTTAGAGTCTGGAGATGTTGACACGGAAGGCAGTGGAGTCGTATCAGAATTATCTAAAGAGAAGGTACATTTTAAAAAATGATATTTTAAATGAAGCCATTTTAGCGGAATTTTATTTGAAAAAGTAAATGCGCAATTCTTTTTACTGTTTTGTTATAATTATGTTTTTTTTTTTTTTTTTTTTTTTTTATTAACGCATGCGCGTATAAGTATTTACTACAAGATTTAACTTTAAATCTCGATTTAAAGAGCATTTTGGCTCCTTCAATTTCAATTTGTATTTTATGTATTTTACATAATACTTGCTTTCAATCTGAAAATGTGTTTATTTGGTGACTAAAGTGTAAATGTAAAAACAAAGCATGTTTAAGCATGTGTACTTTATTATGTTGTTTGCGTTAGCTATATATATATATATATATATATATATATATATATATATATATATATATATATATATATATATATATATATGTAATATATATGTATAAAATACATAATATGAAACTTAGTAAAGAAACATTGATAGAATTAAACGAGGAAAAATGAGTGACGTAAATACGGGTGTATCAAAATATGAGATAATAAAGATCGCTTTTTCTATATCAAAAATCGCTTTTTCTATATCAATTTGCGATTGAATCATATTGTTAAAGTTAAAGTAACATATTGTGTTAGAATTATTAGTAAAACCTTATAAAAATAAGTTGTCTGCATCTTTTCTACTAATATAATAGTAAAAATAATTAAAAAAAAAATAACTTTTATGCGTTCTAGACATTAACATCTATTTAATGAACACTTGAATAAGTTCTGATAACTGATTTTACCAAAGCAAATAAAAAAAGAAAAAGAAGGTAAATTTGCTGATAAGTGGTATGTCTATAAAAATTAATATTGTATACAAGTATTTCATAGTTTTAATTTATATGAAACATGTACCTTAAATTTGGAAAAAAATAGATCTTTTAAACCTTGTACCTAATTTTTTGTAAACCTTGTACCTAACTTATTTACCAACGTTTTTCTTTTTTCAATCTTGATTAAAAATAAATTAGGATAAGATAAAGACATTACGCAATCAGTTTGATACTTGTTTGTTAAAAATAACATTTATTATAACAAAAAAAATTTTATAATAAATATCATTTTATATTTATTTTTTTTAGGTTTTCTTTCCATTATTAAATTTAGATTTTTATTGGTTACTATCGTTTTTTGCTTTCCTTCAGTTATTGCATTCATTTATTGCTTACTTTCATTTCTTAAATATTTTCTTTTATTTCCATAATGTTTTCAGTTATTTTTTCTTTCCTTTCTCTTTTTTCACTGGAGTGAAGTCTTTTAAATGGTTTCATATATATATATATATATATATATATATATATATATATATATATATATATATATATATATATATATATATATATATATATATATATATATATATATATATATATATAATATATATATATATATATATATATATATATATATATATATATATATATATATATATATATATATATATATATATAAATATATATATATATATATATATATATATTTTTTTTTTTCTTCATGAAATAGCAAGTATTAAGTGAAACATTTTTCACCTGAATAATATTTTTAAGAAAAGGTTTTCACAAGTTGCTTACTGAAATCCTTTTAGTGTTTAAGTGATTTTTTTAAATTTTATTTTAAGAAATAATTTTACCTAAAAGAGATGATGGTAGCATTAAATTTGCATTATAAATGTTTCAAAGTTTGCGCAGCATTATTTAGGATGTTTTAGATCATTTGAAATTTTAACTTTTAAAACAAAGGGTGTTACTTTTTTATTTCGCATAAATGTAAAACTAATATTTCGATAATGCCTTATCTCCTGCATAAACAAAAGTTTATCTATGGGGTATTTTCTTTGGGTTAATGTTTGAATTAAACCGGATTCTAGATAAATGTTTTGAACTTCAGATTAAACTTGGAAGACAGACGAACATTAATTAGTATTATTTATCCCATGGAAAACTCAAATCGAGAAGTTTTCTTACTAAAGAAGGTTTTTGTACAGTTTTATTATTTTTTTTTTTAAACCAATAAGCTGGAGTTGGATTGTGTCAGGATTTAATTTAGTTTTAGCTAAAACACTCACGTGCAAAAACTAACTAATTAAACATTTAAACAAAACAGGGTGTTACAAATTAGACAAAATTTAACATAATTGTGCAAACGCCAAAGTTATGTATGTTTATTCTTATGTATTATGAGAAAATATTTCAAATAAAATTGCGGCAATTGGAGCTTAAGAACAAAATACCCAAAAAGCTTAGCTCCTCCTCATACCTGCAACATGAGGGCAACTAGTTATTAAAATACTTTAATTATAATAAATTTAATTTTCACGTTTTAAATTTAATCTTAGAATCTTTTAACTTTTAAAAATTATAACCATGTAAAATTTACACTCCTCTCGTTTGGGGAAAGTTTATAGGATCATAACTTTTTAGCGTTGAAAGATTATAAGGTAAAATTAAAAACCATTAAAAATATTATTGATACAACTATACAACTCTCATTTTTTCAGATCGAGATTAATCAAATAAATAACGTATTAAATATAAATTTGCTTTATAGATTGTTATGACGTTATAAGATTTTATAGATTGTTGTGATGTTATGACGCAGTTATGACGCTGCAGTAGAACAACTGCTTTAGAATAAAAAAGAATAAAAGCTCTGTCCATATAAGCCACGTTGGTAAGGAAGGTGATGTGAACTTTCTCATTAAATGTCATTTTACGGTGCTGTGACAAGACCGTTGGGTCATCTTAGAGCACCTTAATAACCAGGGGGAGGGATTGGGAAATAAAGTATTAAATAATGAGTATTGTATTCTCATAAATTTCATATGAAAATGTTTATAAATTATTATTTTTTTAAATTTGTTTATACATTATTAATTAAAAAGATTCAAGTTGTTCCAAAGTTAGGAGTCAACTTTGAGATAAAAACTAGTTTAGGCGTAATGAAACAGCTTTAATAAAATATTTTTGTTTCGCGTTTCTCTTAGCTATAAAATGTTTCAACATATTGGATATTTCATTATCTTCTTAATGAAAAATGTTGTGGGAATTCTACACAGAATAAAATTTGCAAGACATTAAACAATACGCTACGTGTGGACAAACTGTTTGACGTACGACGAACTCTACGCGCTGCTTATTAACATTTCTTGCAAAAATAATAAAGCTTTTTTGAGTTCTGGATGAGCCCAACCTTCAGAAGAAGAATCTATAATAACTATAAAGAACATTTGTAGTTTTTACAACCAATGTGCTGTAGTAAATACTTATATGCGCGTCTCACTTGAGATAATTTTCTGCTCACAAATAGTTTTATAGTCTGTTAAATTTTTATCAGGATGAAGAAAAGCGGCAATATATCACACCAAGAAATAAAATTGCTGTCCACAAAACCAAACAAGATAAAAATGCAAAAAAACGAGGATGTGGTAAACGAGGCTGCGGCGATGATGATGATGAAGGCGACCGAGATGAAGATAATCATCACGAAAAAGGTGAAGAAATGCATCATCATCATCATCATGGCCACCATGAGCATGAGCATGAACATCATCATCACGGACATCATCACGGATTTATTCATGAGTGGGGACAAGAAGAAGGAGGTGAACATCATGGCCATGAAGGTCATGGTCATCATGAACATTGCAATGAACACGAGCATGAACACGAACACGAGGAACATCAAGGACATGAGGGGGGACACCACGAAGAAGATTGTGAAGGATGTGAAGGAGGTGGTGGTGGAGGCGGTGGTGGTGGATGGCTAGTTAATAAAAAATTCTCGGAAAAAGTTGCAAGTCGTCGTCAAAATATTTATGACAAATTTCCATTAGCTTATCACTGCCGCGATATAGTTAGTACAAGTGGAAAGGTTTCACCAACTAAACGGTTTTGCGTTCCACTTGTTCGTAGAGCTGCAATAGCATGGGCTGATTTTTCTTTGCCATCAAATAAAAATAAACAAAAAAATACCAGAACTAAAAAAAGAAATACTCTTGAAAGAGCAGTTAAAAAACAAACGGTGCACATCGGTTATGGTTATGCAAGTGGAGACAATTATAGATTAGGCTATCAACTTGGTGGCATGGGAGGACTAGAGTCTTCATTTTCTGGTGCTGTTCTTCCTAATAAAAATTTTGGTGCAAGAGAACCAAATAAAAAATCAATAATTAGTTCTGGAATTAAAAGAAATGGCGTTGGAAAAAGGACAGATTTAGGTTTTGAACCACCAGTTAACAATGCAGGTGGTTCATCAACGCCATATGGACATCCAGTAACTCATCCTGGGTTTACTACAATGGGTTATCCTGGCCAAGCAATGGCCTCAGCTGATGTCAGAAATAAAATAATACAACCCTTTTATAAATCAACAAAAAGTATATATGACCGCCAGCCAGTGTTTATTGAAGGTATTAGTTTCAGTTGTCAGAAATTCTAAATAAGACTCTTAATTATTTATTATTCCTTTTGAATAAATGTTTTATTACTAAAATTTTAGTCGTATTCACTAAAATTTTACTTTTTAGATTATCAGTTGGATAATAGAAACCAGCATTTTGAAACACTACCGAGATATGTGTCCGTACTAGCCGAATAATCAATGCAATATGTGTATGCGTAGTTGTATTTTGCGTGACAGTGTGATTAAATTGCTCCTTTGTTAGTGTGTGTGTGTGTCGTTAATGTTTTTTTTATTTATTTCTTTTTTGTTATTTGTAAGCGTATATGTAGATGGAGAGCGAGAGTGAGTAACAAAGCCTAAAAAAACGTCGTTGCATAAAGAAATAACTAATGAATAGAAAATTATTTGTAATATTTTTGCGGTTACTAATTAAAATTTGTTTTAATGTTAGTGTAATGTTAATAAGTTTCTATGTTGTTTATAGGTTACTGTATTGTTGAGAAAGAGTTATAAATATATTTATAAATAGCTGCATAATTTTCCTTTCTTTTGTTTTAAAAAATGTTAATAACTTCTATAGCGCTTTTGTTTTTTAGAAAACAAAAACATAATTACAAAGAATTTTAATTTTTTTTCTTAAAGGAAAGCAGACCAAATCTGTTTTATGCGCCAAAATGCTCTTTGACCGAGATTTTCAGTGAATAATTTTGCGACGTATTTGCGACGTTTAACTCTAGTGATAGTCTTTAACTAGTGATAGTATTTTCTGTTTTTGATTTTATTAAATCAGAGTGGAATGCACAATAAGAAATTACCTTCAAATGAATCCAGAATTGTTAAAAAAAGAAGCGATCTGTCCAAAGATTTGGAGGTGACCGGAAAAAAATTAATTAAGAAAACGGCAGAAAAAGATAAAAATGTTCAAGTTAGATCTTGCGGCTGCGGTTGCTGCTGCAAATGTAACGGCAAATCTGAGCACAAAGATTGTCATGCAGAGGAAGAATGTTGCTGTCATTGTCATCATGGTCACCACGAAGAATGTTGTAACCATTGCCATCATGGTCATCATCATGGTTTTATCCATGAGTGGGGTTACGAAGAAGGAGGGGAACATCATGGCCATATTGGATGCGAAGATTGCCACCATTGTCATGAGCATTGCCACGATCACCACCACCATGATGATCATCATGATCAATGTCATCATCATCACGAGCCTGAATGCTGCTGTGGCTGGGGAAAGAAAAATAACTTACCAAGTAACCCAATTGCTTTTCATTGTCAAGATATTGTTTCAATGATAAATAAAAAGGTATTGAAACGGTTTTGTCTACCAGTTGGATACGCAGGTTTTATGCCTCCATATCAACAACCATCAACAATGGTAGATGCAACTAAATGGAAATGGGATTTATCATCAGCAAAGAACAAAGTTCCGCTAAAAAGTATTACAAATGTAAACAAAACAGCTCAAAATACTCTTAAAAAAAAAATTAGTATTTCAAAAAAACTAAAACAAAAAAGACATATTTTTATTGAGTATGACGGCAATAAAGAAGATCCTTTCGTACAAAGTTTTCAGGAAAATAAAGGAGAAGTTCCAACAGCATGTGTTGCCAATATATGTCCATTCTTTAACGAAAACACAGATTTTCTACAGAGACGATCCGGTATCATAAGTAAAAAAGAAAATCAAATTCCCTATGAAAGAGGAATAACAAAGAAATACTTTCAAGGTATTCATGAAGTTTTGAAGATTTTTTTAAGCAATTCCTTGCATGTGTTTCACTACTGTCACCTATGTATGTTGCATGGAACAAAAAGTTTTTTTTTGGGACACTAAGTTAATTGAAATTTTTTTAGGTTCTTTTGAAGACGGAATGAAGGCGGGAATATATGTATCATTTGATGAAAATTAGAATGGCATAATTATTTTTAAACTATAAGCATCACATGATCAAGGATTTTGTTTTTGCAAAAAGTCTAATGTGTTTTTTATATAAAAATAAATAAAAATATAAAAATAAATCATAATAATTATTGTATATTATTTTTATACTTACTATTATACTTTGTATAAAATTGTTGTTAACTTATTTACTTTTAATAATGTTTCTAGACCATGAGTAATTATTTGTTTTAAACTAAATTCGAAAAATCACTATTTTACCATATATGTAAATATATGTATATATATATAGAGAGAGAGAGAGTTCAAAATCTGTTCTGTGATCAATTTTGTTAAGAATGATCAAGCATTATCTAAATTGGATTAAATTTTGTCAAATCTAATAGCATCACATATCGCTTTCACCTTGTAGTAAATACTTAGAACGCGGAAGTTTACTTAATCTTTGATCACAATTTGTGAATTGATCGGTTCACATTTGATCAATTTAGAAAAGAGATTCTGTAAATTATCGAAATGTAGATGATAAAAACTTGGGTGATGGCGATTTGAATGTTGGCAATTTGAATGATAACGATTTGGATAATTTTTCTGAAAATAAAAACTTTATTGGTAGATCATTGAAGAGAAAATGTAGTAAAAAATGTTCACCGAATGCAGAATGCCGAACTTGTCGTAATGATGACGACGATGATGATGATGATGATGATGAAGATGAAGAGAACTACGAGGATAGACTCGAGGAAAAATACCATAAACATCACCATGGAAAACACCGTCATGTACATGAACATCATTTTCACGGTCATCATCACGGTTTCATCCATGAATGGGGGCAGGAAGAAGGAGGCGAACACTATGGTGATGAGGGTTACGGACATAATGAATACGAAGATGAGGATGCTCACATAAACCGTCACCATGGTGAATATGGAAACCAAAACTCACGTAAATATCAAGAGAGGAACAATAATGAAGAGTATAACGGTAGAGGGTACAATGATCGAGGATGGTACCGTGATGCTGTTGGATGGAAAACAAAAGGTGCTTCCAAACATAAAATATTGAAACCTTTATAAATAAATTTATAAAACTAAAATAAATAAAATGATTTAACATTTATTAAATTTATGAAAGGAAAAAAAAAACTCATTTTCAAGTAAATTAGAGTAACTATTTTTGTTTAAAAGACTTTCATAGCTTTTTGTAAGAATGAATTTATTAGTGTTTAAATTTATATATATGCAACAACAAAAAAAAAAAAAAAAAATTACGAGACGTTTTCTTTTGAACGTAAAGTTAAAATTTTAATTTAGAATAATGCAGTCTTTTTGTAAGTTTTAATATTCAAAATACAAGTTGAGAAACTTTGTAATTCGATAAAGCAACATCAATTTAAGTAAAAAAAAAAAAAAAAAAAAAAAAAAACGCAATGTTTTCATTGCGGCGTAATCGACCAATTGTTTTAGGTGGCTCAAATAAAAAAATCAGCACAACTTACCTTAGGCGGCTCAAATAAAATATTCTACAGAACTTACCTTAGGTGGCTCAAATAAAATATTCTACAGAACTAATGTTAGGTGGCTCAATTAAAATGATAAAAGTGTATGGGTAAGAATATTTTGCATGAAAAAATCTTCATATACATATAAATAGCTTTGTTAATTCTGTTTTACTTGCTATCATGCATGTAAAGTATAAAATTTATATTAACGTAAATAACGCACTAATCAAATGCAATTTAATAGTTAAAAAATATTCATGCATGCATTTATAAAAATATTTCATTTCAAATTTATTTTTAATATGATTTATTAAAACGTGTAGTAAATACTTAGGCGCGTTTTTTTTCTTGTTATCTAAACACTAGTGACACATTTATTTTTTAACATAGGGAATGAAAAACGATGCTGATGAAGGTTCTGCTATGGAAAAAAAAACCAAACCTATAAGTGAAAAAATAGACAAACAGGTCATAAAACCAGCAACGAGTATTGCTATTGAAACTGTAGCAAAACCTGCGATCAAACCTAAAACTAAACTAGCTAGAGATTCAAGAGAGCGAAAGTTTAAAAAAAGGATTGAAGGAATAGATATTTTAGAAAACACTGATGCAGCCTTAAACTCAAAAATTAAAACTGAGAGACCAGTGTGTAGATCATGTAAAAAAAAAAAGCGTTGTGAAGAAGATGATGATGATGATGAAGGTTGCAAAGAAGAACATGAACATCATGATTGTCACGACGAAAAATGCTGTCATTGTGAGCGTAACCATGACCTTGATGAAGACGAGCATCATCATCACGGCCATCATCACGGGTTTATTCATGAATGGGGAGATGAAGAAGATGGTGAACACCACGGGGAAGAAGGACGTGGAGATGACTGTTGTGATCATTTACATTGCCACAAAGATTGTGATGATGATTGTGATGGACACTGTCGTGAAGGCGAGAATCATCATGAAGAATGCGGTGGCCATTGTCATGAAGGCGATGGCGGAAATGGTTATGGTTGGTGTAGAGACGTTATTCAGACTACTAAAAGTGGTAAATTTGAAAAAGTCGTGCAAAGGTTTTGTGTACCTTTAGGTTACCAAGGAGGGTATGGTGGATATCCTTATTTCTATGGTTATCCAGGAGTTGGTCTTGGTTTGTATGGTTGGGGATGGCCGTGGATTAAAAATAAAGTGCCTGGAAGTGTTGGAGTAAAAGCTCCGGTTAAAAAACCGGCTAAAAAGGAAGTAAATAAAGAAGTAAACAAAACCATAAAGAAAGTTAATAAAGATACTGCAGCAACAAAACGACAAACAGTCCACGTGGGCTATGGTTATGCTAGTGGTGATAATTACAGACTAGGTTATCAAGAAGGTGGTATGGGAGGTCTTTCTTCGAATACCTTTGACGACGATCAACACAATAATGATTTTAATCATAAAAAATCCACAGTTCAAAAACGACGTGGATTTGGTATGGGAATGGGAATGGGATCATTTGACTCAAGGATGGAGCCCCAACAACACACTCCATATGGACACCCAGTTACACATCCAGGATTTACAACCATGGGTTTTCCTGGTCATGCTTTAGCATCTGTTGATGTACGAAATAAAATAAGAAGATCAAAGCGGCAAGTTTATGAGGAACCTGTTTTTTACACACAAGATTATTTGATGCCAAATATATTTCATCCTACTTTTGAATACTAAGACATAAGGTATTTATTAGGAAATTTTTATTTATTTATTCATTTTTTCGTTCTTTTTTATCTTTTACAACAACCCTAGTAATTTGAGATATTTTTTAAAACAGGGCTTGCTGAAAGACGGTGCTTCGATAAACCATAATAAATTTGTAGTAATCTACAGTGAACAAATCATCTAACAGATATTAGCCAGTACAGTGGGAAAAATGCAATTTTTCAGAAAAAAATGAATTGTTATTTTGAAAAAAAAATTATACAACAGTTTTTTTAGTTTTATTATGATCTAATAGTAGTCTGCTATCACTGTTATTTGTTTTTATCATAGTTATTTATATAAAATTAAAGAAATGATAGCAATAATAAACTAGTAAAAAACATAATATATTTTTAAATTCCAAACTTTGTTTTTAATTGCTTTTGTAAT